CTGACCTTCGTCCCCCATGCCCCTCCCTGAGCCTGCCCACATGCCAGAGCTTCCGGCCCCCTTCCCTGAGCCCCACGTTGATCTCTATCAATTTCCATCATTTATCCCACGTATTGTAAACTCTAATCCTATATACAATTGTTGCTTCATAATTTCTTCCACTGGATTGATCGTAAGAATAATTACTGTGGGGAAAGGTGAAATTACTCTTCTTGAATCCACTTCTTATGGACAGTGCTGCTCTTGGTGTCGTTTCTGAAGGTTTATTCCTCTTTTCAGAAGCCAGCTGGTTCTCACCGATCCTTTTTTGATTGTTTCAGCTGCTCTAAGGAACCACTGGCCAGAAAGCAACACTGAGCCCCACACAGAGAACATCACCTCTGATCAGAATCAAGTGGACGTTTCCACAGTGGCCTCCAAGGAGGGTGTGATGGCTCAGACCTCCGGCCAGAGTCGCGCTCCTTCAGGTGCTCCAGAAAACATCGCTCCACCGGCTGAAAGCGCAGGCGCTGGAGGAAAGAACCACTCCGCGAGGGGAACCGACGCCACCACCTCCCCTGCTGGGCCCGAGAGAGCAGCCGCCCTGACTTCCCGGAGCAGCACCTCGGGTGAGTTTGCGCTCACGACACTCACTTCATTCACGAATGTCCAGCCCTGGACAGCAAGGCTTCTGCCAGGCTCCTCTCTCCCTCCCTGAGCCTCGGTACCATCGCAGGGTCCCGGGCTGGGGGTCAGACCTGTGACTTGGGCTCTACCTGTGACATGCTGCGGTGGACTAAGAAGTATAAACCAGACAAGGGTGTGGATTTGCTGGGAGGCCTGTCCAGTCCCATAGAATCTATATTCCATGGCTGGTCTGCATCCAAACAGCACCCAGCCATCCTGCTACACGTTGCAAGTATCAGGCACCCGGCATGGTGGCCTGTGTGGCTGCGTGTGTGTGTCGACGTGGCTCAAATGGATGTTCTTGCTTCAGCCTGCACAGCTGTGGTTTGCCATTTTTAGCAAAGGATTTCAAGAGGGGGCCGGGGCTGAAGGAACAAGATTTGACTGAGGAAGGGAAGATAGAAAACGAGCGCTGCTTAGGCCCCTACTACACACAATGTGTCTGGTCTCTCAGTTCTCACAGCAAGCGGTGGAGTCACATTATCCTCATCTTAGGAATTCAGAAATTGAAGCCCAGCGAGGTCAACCCATCCAAAAGGTGTAAGTCAAACAGCTGACAAGTTTCAGAGCTGGGATCTGAGCCTCAGTCTGCGTATCTGAGCCAGGCAGAGGGGCAGCTGAGGAGTAGGTGCCTGGACCATGTGAAGGGTGATACAGAGGAGGGAAATGTGAGCATTTTGTGCGGCAGCAAGGCCCGGAGCCTCCCTTGAGGGAGGCAAAAGTCACAAACAGGAGAGGAGCAGTGGGTAGGATGGTTGTGTGGATGGGGTTAGGGACAATCATGGGGGACTTTAAAAGGCTGGCAGTTTAGATTTGGTATGGTGGCCAGAGTCCCTGAAGGTTTCTGAACCAGGCAGTGACATGATTAAAGCGCATTTGGAGAGGATTCACCTGGCAGGCAGGTGTAAGAGGTCTGGGGAGGGAGATGGGCTGAAGGGAACCTGGAGTTGGGGGGGGGACCACCCAGGCAGACACAGAAATCCAGACACCAGGTGCTGAAATATGGCCTGATGGCCTCAGGGATGGAGAGGAAGGGATTGATAGTCTTCACAAGGATAATTGATAGGAGTTGGTAACTGCCCAAAAGTAGAGGGTGAAGCCATGAAGATGCCCCCAGGGTTTTACACGCTAGTGACAGGCGGTCTGGTTGGGGCACTCAGTGCTGAGGATATTTTATGTTTCGTTCATGAATGATGAAGTTAGAGCTTAGAGCCTCTGCACATAGTGCTGCCTGGGTTTGCTGGTCATCCAGATACTGGAAATTCTGTTTACGCTGAATTCAAGTAAATTCTGGAACCAGCTTTGTGGAATATGGGTGATGAGTCATGGTGATCAGAAACCAATCTCTGGTTCCATATCGTTGGCTGTTTAGCTTCATCGTGCTTGCTTTCTGATCGTCTTACCGCAAGGTGCACAGTCTTTGTGAGATCTAAAGACAGTCTTTGTCTTAGTTTGTGGTCTCTCACGCAGGGGTTAGCTTTCCACAGAATGAATAATTGCTCCTGACTTCTTCTCATGTCTGTATATGGTATAGAGGTCAGAGCTGAGCCCGCTAAAGGATTCTTCAGAAATTGGGAGGTCTGCTGGTGGAACTTTAATTGTTGCTGTCTGCTTTCAGCCTTGGGAGGGCTTCACCTGCCAGCCAGCAGTACAGGATCAGAAGAAAGCAGTGCCCCTCCTCACACAGAGAGCAGACCCTCCCGGGGTTCCGAAGAAGCGTCCGTGCGTGCCCACGTGGCCACTTCAGTTTTGAGCCAGTCCTTTCTTCCTGCTCTGGAGACGGGAGAAGAGACCACACTGTCCAGGAGGAGGAATTCCTCAGAGGCAGAGTTCTCCTGGCTGCATTTCTCCAGGACATCGGCTTCCTCCCCTCCCTCAGGTCACTCCAAAGGTGAGTACCCTGTCCCAGCCGAACACTCGGAAGTCACTCAGAATAGAAGTAAACAGACACGTACAGCTAGACGTCCTCGTCACAGGGGCCAAGGGGAAAAGACATTAAGCACAAATGCAAAGTGTTTGGGGTAAAAGTGCGACCCACACAATTTATCTCAGTATTGAAGTTCATATTTAAAATGTTTTATTTAACTGTATAAGGAGGAAAATAATAGCTGGTCTGGTGGCTGTTCTAGACCTTTCTGTCCACCGGCCCCTGTTTCCCCCCACCCCCACATACACACACAAATACACACAGCAAAGACTAAGTGGTGTTGGTGTGAACTCTTGCACAAGAGGCCATATACTGGGGTGAATGGAATGGTGAGCATTGTATCATTTAATTAGGAGTTAGATTTATATTTCTTCACTATTGCAAAAGTTTCTTTCAGTGGCAAAGATAACATAGAGAGCATTTTTCTAGGCATCATTTTCTAAAAATCATACAGTGCAGGTGGTTTGCAAGGCTGCAGGAGTGGAGTAGTCACCTCTCTGCCGTTCCAGTTCCTAGTCATCAGTTGAGTCTTGCTCAGGTATTTCCATCTCCACAAAGCCTTTCTTCAGCCCCTGATCCTCTGAGTCATTAGTGTATCTTATCACACTAGGTCATCTAATGCCTGTCTGCCCAGAGGGATCGTAATCCTCTTGAGGACATAGGCTGTGTCTGTTACTTCTCTTAGGTTCCCCACTGCCCCAGAACAAGGTACAGCTGATAAGTAATGGGGAGTAGCATTGCCCAGATATTACAGGGCTCACCCAGCCCTGGGTCAAAGAGAATGCTGGAAACTGCCGGCCTTTGCTCTTCTCTGAGGTTTTGTTCTGAGTCAGTGACGCTGCAAGTGTTTTCATCCCCACACCTGAAGGAGCAGGACAGAGAGGGTTGCAGATATTCCTGGGAAATAGAAATTAGGCTGCTTTAGATATTGCCATTTCAAAATTTTTAGAGGTCAGAGGTTTTTAAAAGTACTTTGCAAGACTGGGGGTTTGGGTTATGCCATCAAAGTAAAAACTGAATCCAGAGGTCCTTTCTGTAATGCCCATGTAAAGCCACCAGTTTCTCTCCCATGTACTCTCTGTGCACCATTTCCTGACTGGGATGTGCGTAATTTATGATTCGTGTCTTTCGGAGATTGCTTTTTAAGATTATTTTTAAACGTTGGTTAGATCAAATGAAAGCTGCTATCCTTTCCAGCTTCAAAGTCCTGTGGTTTTAGTGATTTACAACCAGCTTGACTANAGTCCTGTGGTTTTAGTGATTTAATGGTGGAAAGAAAACATTTTCGAAGAAGCTACACTTCAGTTCTGGTCAGAGTCATTTAATATTTATAAGTTAAATTCAACCCACTATTGTGGTATATTTGGAAATCAGCCTCTGTTTCTAACTTTACTGCACTTGACTCTGTATTCCCCTATATTTTTCAACATTAAAAAATAATTGGTCTTTAGATTCCTTGAGTATTCATCCTTTTAGAGCCTTATACATTTAATTTTAAAGAGTAGTGCTCTGTCTTTCCAGAGTTTCCCCCTGAGCATTTCTCTTCCTTCTCAGCGAACTGGGTGTTCTGTGCTGGGTGGAGTCCCACCACCTTCTTAGATGCCGAAGAGGGCGTTGGCTGCTATTAAATGAGAGAATAGCCAGGCATCCGGGAAGTCTGGATCCAGCCTCCAGCCTCCTCTCCTCCCTGTGGGGATGCAGAGGGGACATGCACAAGGACCTGAAACCAGTCGGGAAACAAAACTCTGCTTCATTTTTAAGGCTGGGCTAGTACCCACTAACCTACTAACCAGAGCTCTGGTATACCGAATTCCTCCCATTGCGTCTGCATCTTGAGATTTTACTATCCCTTTCTGGCCATGGGATCCAGGAGCTCTAGGCACGCAGGCAGGAGTGCTGAGAGGGCTGGCGGGACTTGTCAGAGGCAGACCCATGTTGGGGGGCCCAGCTGGTCGATCTGTAGGAGAACAGTAGTGAAGAGGAAGTGTGGCGGTGGTGTGTGTCTTTTGACACTTGGCCACTCCCTGCACTAATAAATGTGACTCATCAAGCCCCTGGCACTTAGACCAGTCAGATGAATGGTGCCCCTCACAGTGGTTGCTAGGGTGGCAGCCAGGAGCTCGGCCCAGGGAGAATGGGCCTCCTTATTTGAAACATGAAGGGGTTAGAGCAGCTGATCCTAAAGGTTCTTTCTAGTTCCAGCATCTGTTACTCCAAACACACCAGCCTTTGCACTGTGTGCCTCCTTCCTCTCCTCACTCTGCTGCACAGAAGCAGGCATGCAGCACAGCCTCTTCTGAGGCTCAGGGAGCCTGGAGTACCTGCTTCCAACAAGAAATTGTATCCCAACAAATATATGCATGAAAGCAGGTGTAGGCCCAGAGAGCCGACTCAGATTTAAGACAAGAGATTGGAAGCCATTTGAAATTATTTTTCTTGCTGCTTTACATTCTTTGCTGCTTTACATCTTTCTGTACTTTCCATACTTTCTATAACGACGATGCACTACTTGATCATACCGGGGAAAATAAGTAAAGCAACTAACAGGGAAAAAAGTTCCCTTTTGAAGGTGGAAAGAGATATGTGTATGTTGAATTGTGGGAGAGCAGCTACAATCGAGCACTAAATTTAGTACTGAGCTTCCTGGAAACCAGGGCACAAAGGGAAGCCGGGTGGGGCATGAGATTGTCGTCTGATAAGGTCAGCACACAATTCCATCCATGGGCATACGTGTTCTGGGGGCAGTAAATTCTAAGATGAATATTTATGTAAGGAATGTTGAGAATCGTAATAGAAAATGCTATCAATTGCTATTCTGTGGAAATTGTGCTAATGTTCTTTAAAAGGTGGTATTTTATATAGATTCTCAATTGGAGCTGAGGGTATAGTAATGGATCTCTTCTCATGAAAGTATTTCTGTGAGGAGCTGAGCTAATGTGGTCCAGGTAAATTGCTTTGTGGTGATTTCACTTTGTAAAGGAAGGGAGCATAAATAACTCAGAAGATTGTAGATTTAGCATATCTTTCTCAAATATCAGCTGCCTCAGCTGGATTTTTGGCAGGTTCTGGTAGCAGTCAAGCCAAGGTTGAGCGTTCTGCTGCATGCCTGAGGCTCCAGGGTTTGTGCTGCGACTGGAGACTGACCCATATACTTTACCAGATGAGTAGTCGTTCTTTCCACCTCCTGTAATAAAATCAAGGAACTTGGCTTGTTTCTGCTCCCAAATGGATGGTCTTCCCATTTTGAATGGCTGCTTTAAAGGTAGAAATGAGCAAGGGAAGGCAACTATTAACTAATCAGTAGAGCTGGCCTGTTCATGAGAAACATGGTCTGTTTCCCCTACGTGCCGTTAACAGTCGCTCACTTAGTGGTGTGAGTGGTCACCGTAGATTAGTTTGACCAAACATTTTGTCTTTTTGTTAAGAGGCACCAGCTCCATGGAAGCCTTCACACTGCTTCAGAACTTTACCAAGAGGATTCAATGAGGTTGTGTATACAAAGTACTTACTTGGCACCATGTGTAGAGGTTCATATAAAGTACTGGTATGCCATAATTGGTCAGTAGATGGCAGCTTTTAATAATGCTGATAATGAGTTGATGAAGCAAATGTTCCACGGAGCCCTCGGGGCCAGGGAAAATACAGCCACTTTCCTTTTGGGACTGTCAGCATTAGTGACTTTTATAACTGTATTTCTGTGGCCGTTGATTTGCTGGACAAGTATTCAGGCTGAGTCCAGGATAACGGCCACTGTACCTTGAATCGGTAAAATAATGCAGTTTCCTGAGGCTGTAACTTGGTGGATTTAGATGGTAGCTGCAATGAAGTGAAGCCTGAGAAGCTACGTGGTTGAGTGAGGATTTGGGGTGTATCTCTAGTAAGCTTTCCTGTTGTTAATACTAATGCATTTTTGTGTTAAGTAGGGGTGGGTTTAGGTGAGCTGGGATTATGATTTTGTGTCTGGGTCTCTTTTTTCCCTTGTTTTACTTACTAGTTGTATGGATCGTCTGCAGCTTCCTTTTGTCTTTATTAAGGTCCAGTGACCGGAGCTGCCGGTCGTGTTCTAGGCACAGTTGATTCTATGGTCTGTACTCCAGTACGAGGAACCTTTGTGTTTCCTGTGCTCTCTTTCTAATTATACTTAGTATTTATTTGTGCTTTTGGTCATAACTGCACATAGGACTGGTCTTCAAGGAACCATTTATAATGAGAACTTTCTTTTTCCCTTTCTGGGTCATAATTAACAGCTTAAAACCTTTCATTATAAGGTATAGAGTCCTTTTAATTATTTTTGGCTGAAAAAGAAAAATAACACTCTTGTTTCTTGATTGGATCCCGCCTGCCATGTTTCTTCCCACTCACAGAGCTTTCCTGCAGGCTATTCATTCCCGTTTGGAGTGGGGATTTCAGCGTGCCCGCTGGAAGTCTGTGCCCAGGGTGCCCTTGGGAAAGTTCTGTGTGAGAGGAGCCATGAGCGAGCCACCTGCACTGTGCATTTTGAACAATGGCGTATAATTCAGTTCTGAGAGGTCCTGATGATTAATCCAGCCTTTTCCATCAGTTCATCAGAAAAACTGCTCCAAGCCTGGAGTCCTTGATCTCCTAGGGCCCGTTGGAGGAGAGTGTAAACATGAGAGCTGGCCTCCAGAGCCCAGAGAGGCTGCTTGCTTTCGGCTGGAATTAAATCAAATCAGTAGGGGAACAGTGACAGTCTCCTGCTGATTAGAAACTGTGTTACTTAATAAATGCATTTCAGTTTGGAGTCTTTCAAATCATAAGGTTTATGGTGGCCCTGAGGTGGGAAATAATAACCTTGATGGTAACAGGCTGGAAATTGTTGCTCGGGGCTGGTGTTGCTTCTGCTGTGCAGAGCCCAAGGCCCTCCGCTGTGACCTGGGAGCTTGGTGCCCTGGAACGGCCCACTTTTATTCATTTTTATGTATGGGTTTTCCTCTGTGATAGCATTTGAACATATGGTTACAGCTGCTAAAATAAAACAGACAAAAACCTGTGCTTGATCACAATGGCCTGTGCTATATAAGCTATAAGGTGAATTCAAGGGTATAAGCCTCTTCCTTCCTCTCTAAAAACCAAGGCAAATACGGTCTAGAGGCATTCTCTCTTCCTTTTCTGGAGCAGAAGCTTTTCATTGAGCTTGGTGAAGGACGCCACTGGTTCCCCACTTAGCTCTACAAGAATTAGAGCGAGGGGGGGAGAGTAGGTGAGTGTGTCAAATGTGTTTATCTGTATCAGATCTACGTTATCTAGATTTACTTACCGAAATGTAATAGACGTTATTTGTGTCTAGATACAGCCCTGATTTTTTCAAACCACCCCGAGTGAGTAGTCTTGAAGCATTTTTTTTTTTTTCATTTTAGCTTCTGGAAGTACGGAGGAGCTAAACAACTCTACTGCTCCTCGAAGCCCTTCAGCCAGTTGGACAGAGAGTGTGCAGGTTGCCACCACGTTCCCCAGTGGTGTCCCAAGGGTGATTCAGTCTTTAGCTGTCAGTCTGGGATGGCTAAACGAGACAGAGGGTTTCTCCGATGGCTCTGAAATTGCCACAACTCCAGCATCAGTCCATTCTTCACCGTCTGAGACAGAACTGAGGAGAAACACCAGAGTAATTGGGAGTCTAGGGGATGGGGAATTCAGTGAGCCGTCCACAGAAAATGGATTTGGCCTTCCATCTTCCGAGGCCTCAGTGGGATTTTGGCAAAATGATTTCCCAAGTAAGTATTCAATTTTGCTTAACTATTATGGACATTTAAAAATTGTTGGATTTTTGCCCTAGCTGGGCGAGTCAGTCAGTTGGAGCATCATCGCATACACCAAAAGGTGGCGGGTTAGATTCCTTGACAGGGCACATAGCTAGGTTCCGGGTTCGATAGCTCGTCAGGGCAAGTATGGGAGGCAACCGATTGAAGTTTCTCTCTCACATCAATATTTCTCTCTCCCTCTCTCTCTCCTTTCTTCTCTCTCTGAAATCAATGGAAACATACCCTTGGGTGAAGATTAAAAATAAAAATTGTTGTATTCTCTTAAGGGATGGCTTCCAGACCAAGAAAAAGAATGTCCTTAGATAACACCATCCCCTTTCTCTTGTATATCACACGTTGATTTTCATCCTTATGAAAACATTGTGAAGTTTGTCCAACAGGCGTCATTCCTCCTGCTTTCTTTGTAGATGACGAAACCAAGGGTCAGAGGGTTTCGGCAGAGCTGAGACCTCAGCCTCGGAGCCCTCACTGCTGATTGCGTCTTGTCACTGCAGCATCGTCTCCAAAGTGAGAGCTGGCCTGCTCTTTAAAACTAGTTTGAGTTATTTTATATATCATTAGAACTAAACCATGTAGCTATAAATATATTCCCCAAATTCATACTTCAAAATTAGAATAATCTAATAATCAAAATTAGAATAATAATAGAACTGTTTTAGAAAAATGGTTCCTACCATTTTGAGCCGCATTGGACATAACACCCTACCTTTCTTAATCACTTTTGGGAAACAAGAACAATACTCAAGCCTCTCGGTTACTCTGCTGCCTTGCACATGCTGTTTAAAAGCTCCCCTCTTCACCGTTCATTTTTAGTATTGCTATCTTATTGGCACTGAAGAGTTTTGAATTAATTATTTAGAATATGAAAGTGCATGTCAGATTACACATATAATAAATTCTATGCAAGGTCATTGCCAAGGGGACCTTTCCTTAGAGAGGACTCACGTTTCAGTTGTGGAGGGGTCTCTTTCACATCCGTGTAATGGCATTTTTCCCCCTGCCACCTTACAGTCTCGGAAGGACACCAGCGGGCCAGCAGCTCTGACCCGGGAACCGGGAGCCCCGTGTCCCAGACTGAGACTGTGCCCGGGCCCGTCCCGTTGGGCAGCACTGGAGAGAGCGCCGCGCGCTGGGGCTTGACCAGCAGCAAGACGGCTGAAGATGTGCCGGGAAGCTCTGCTTCCTACCCTGCAGCTGTGAACTCTTCCGCTTTGACCCGGTTCTCAGCCTCTGCCCCACAGCCTGGAGGCAGTGACACAGCGCTGGGGGAGAGGAGGCGCTCCGAGCCGGGCACCGAGTCCTCGCCCTCCTCCTCCTCCTCCTCAGAAAGCCTGGAGTCCTCAGCCCCGCGCGGCCAACGCTCCAGTGAGTCTCCCCGCTCAGCCTGGGCCGCGGAGGGGCGGGTGCTGCCAGGCCTGTGGCCCGCAGCAGGGAAGGCACGCGTTAGTGAAGCAGCGCCATAGGCCCCTCTGGTTTCAGTAATCCCGGCCGTTCTTCTAGCTGGTGGGTACAGATATACCTCTGTGCCCCTAAATTTTTTCTGGGACATCTCCACAGAGTTGCCGTTGCCACCTGCCCCTCCCACACAGAGCTCAGGGGCCTCTCTGTCCATGTCCTTCCACCCCCTATAG